AGTAGAGAATAATGAGATGTGATGAAAGTCCGCATGGATTCCGAGCGGGCGCTGCAACTCCGGGTCGCGGGAAAGCGGAGGTACGAACTCCGGGGTCGCGGGAAAGCGGAGGTACGAACTCCGGGGTCGCGGGAAAGCGGAGGTACGAACTCCGGGTCGTGGAAAGCGGAGTTGGTGTTCCAGTTCCGGAGTTCACTGTATTTTGTCATAGACAACAAATGTCCCACACACAGCAAAAATGGCCTCATTGACAAAAACTATAATAGGGCAGTGATTGCCCAGACTAATAAGCATTAGCTATGAGTAGTAACTAGGTATAAAATAGGCTCATCTCAGCCACTGCATAAGAGGGGCAAAGAACAACTGAGGAATCTGAAGTGAAAACTAAGTATATATATGTAGCAGAATGGGAAGAGAAGTGCTTGCTAATAATAATCAGGGAATAGGAACAGGAACAATGAGGAGATGGAATTAAGCAATGTAAAGAAGTGATGGAGCATCCCTGGAGGCTCAGGAGTGATGACAAGAAAAGGGTGATGAGGTGCAATAAGAGTCTGCACAAGTTCCATACAGATTCTGAGCAGATGTTGAGACTCTGAGTGGGTCTACCTGGTGGCAGAGCAGAGGTACAAACTCTGACTTTCTGGAAGTGTGGAGTTGGTGTTCTGGTTCCAAAGTTCACTGTATTTTGTCACCCGTCACCCCAAAGATAGACCTGTTGCCTCACAAATCACCCCACTGCCTTGGTCATGACCCATTACCTCAAAGATGGACTTATCACTTCACAAACCACCCCACTACTGTGACAATAACAGCCCCATTGCCTCCCCATCATCTCAAAAACAGTCCCATCACCTCAAAGATAACAAAATTTGCCAGAAAAGTGGACTACACAGGGATTGAACACATGGCTTCCAGTGTAGTACAGTGATGCTCTTCCAACTGAGCTACCAGTCCATTGGTACTAGATTCTAGCTCAAGCATCAGTAGGTATTACATGGTAAGCATGGTGCTTGCTACCATTTGACAAAAGATAGATCTGTCACATCAAATCACCTCAGTCATAACCCTATCCCCTTGAAAATGGACACATTGGTTCATGAACCACCCCCAACTTCCTGTTGTTAAGCATTTGCACAGGTATATCCCTGTGTATTATGTATATAGCACTATGAAAGTGGACATGATTGCTAGAGTACAATGCTGTCCCATCCATCCTTCAAAGCTTCCTTGTCACCTTCCACATCCACAAGAGCAGGAACTGCCAATCCATTATCTGTCTTGACAAGGATGAGATGGCTCAAAGCCCCTAGGCAAAGAAGTGCATGAGTAATCTGACTAGAAAGACAGGAGTGTATGTGTGACAATAAGGTGACTATGGCTGAAAAGGTGTTCCACATTGATAGATGTAGCTAAGATATTGATCAGTGAACTGGCATATCAATGAAATCATGCACTCACCTGGGATGGTCAGGTAGTCCAATGCCATGTGTGACAAGCCTGGGTAGACAGCACACTGCTTGTGCCACCATGCTACAGCATTAGTGACATGCTCCACATCAGTGCAGAGGTAGTGCTTGAGTTTGGAACCTAGGTCAGATGATTTAGGTGGGGCCAGGGTGACCATGGTGTCAAACATATTATCCTACAGATAAAAGAAGTATTAGTTAACATACATACCATAGTAACTAGCCAGCTACAAACCTTTTTGGGCTTAGATGAGGATGCACCCAAGCTGTTGTCATGGCAGTCATCAGTCTCCTCTGCAGTATCCATCCTCTTTGCTGTGTTGATCCAGCCCTCCTGCCAGTTTGCATTCTTGAAATAGGCAAGTTTGTGTTGGGGATGCAAAACTACAAGGTGTCTGTTAGCACACTGTAGTCCACACAGCTACAAACAGATTAACCAGCACACACCTTCAGCACATCATAGAGCTATGTATTCCAGCAAGCCCTATTCCCTGTCCTCCAACTCAAACTTTTCCAGGGCATGGTCCTGGGTCACACTGTCAACTGCTTCATGATGGTTTAGTGCATATTGCAACATATCAAATGTTGAGTTCCACCGAGTCGGCACATCACATGGCATATTAGTGACCTTTAGCTTCATCTCTGGAAGAATTCCCTGCCAGGCCAGCAACAACTTTGTGATGGAATGGATCAACTTGAATTCCAGTTTTTGGATCTATTAGCGCATGAGAATTCAGTGCTAGATAAGGTGTGCACCTAACCTTCACAAGTGCTAACTTGATCAGCCAATTTGTTTTCAGCAATTCCTGGCACTCTCATTCACTCAACAGCTCATTTCTATCAACCAGCCCATCAGTATAATCATTTTTCTCTTTGTCAGTCAAGTCCCACTCCCTCATGGTCACAGCATCCTCATACTCGATGTCTTGGCTCAGCTTGTCAAGTTCCCTCATCAATCTTACCTCATTGATGCTCAAGTCTTCATCAGCCACCACCTCTCCATATTTGCTCTGTCCTTTGGATTTTTCATCAAATTCCCTGATCAATGCCTTCACCACGAGGTTGGTGGTGTGCAAGGAACACCATGTGTATGTGGATGCTCCACCAAAGTTGGGGATCTCACCCAGCTTCTCAACCATCATGGTATTGTCAGATGCATTGTCACAGGTGGTGAACAACATCTATGTCAAGGTAAGTAATCTTGTTCATCACCCCCCCTCCAAGGCTAAGAAACTCCTCACTGGTATTAGACTTGAAGGGAGTCAATTATCCTCAATCATGCACTAAAGTAAGTGTCAATCACCTTGGCTACCTCAGTTACATCTAGTGCTGTGCAAGGGGATGTTAAGTCACAGTGCGCAGATACCTTGACATAACCAATGTGCACTCGACCAGAAACATACAAAAGCATGCTAAAAAATGCTGGGGGGATGAAACCTTGAAGTGGCAGATCTTGCAAAGAACACCACTGAAGTGTGTGAAAATATTGTTATTGTCAGTAGCATCCTATGCACTGGGTCAATTATGCAGGCATTCAAACATAAGAGCCAGGGAAAGGTGACTTACTTGCACAGGCAACATACATGTGCCAAGATGAAGTGAGTGTTTGCCATTGTCATCCTTTCCATCATGTGACATAATCTGTAGGGCCAAGATAATCAGATGGCTTCCTTCAGCTTCCATTTGTACGGAGGTGGCTTGGGACATGGCTGGTGCTTTGGAATGATTGGCATGAAGTGAGAGGAGTAGCAAATTTTCCATTCCACATAGCCATTGCCAACCAATGATGTGTGGAGATCCAGGGTTGCTCCATTCTCCAGTATGGATCCGACTAGGCCTTGTACCTGCAAAAATGTAATCTTGTAGTGTATATTGCTCCTGTCCAACCTATACATTACAAAATTGACTGTATATTGTATATTCTCCTGCATCCCATGATGGGAGCTGCCCAAAATCCATACATTACAAGATTTATACACTACTACCATATACATTATGAAAAAGTCTACTGTATAAGCAGAAAAAGCTTGTAAGTGGAGTCACCCAGGCTGTGTTGTGTCATATCATATGCCATGTGGCTGTGTCACATTGTTGCATGAGGGTGGGCGTTTTGGACATAGGCAGGTCATGTGGGGGTGCAGTCCAGCACAGGTGAGTATTATTGGGGTGTGGTTTAGGATGTTAGTGATGCTTGTCGTAATAGGGGGAGTATCCATAGGGGGATCATCACCATCGTTGTAGGAAAGCGTTAATTCCTACAGCCACAACTGCCAATCCCCGCAAGCTCCTTCCGCCTACCTCATTCACTTCCAACCGTGCCCTCCAGTCTGTCTGTCTTTTTACAGATCCCCATGCCCACGTCCTCTGGTCCTGTCCATCTCGTCGGTAAGCCCTTTAATTTTCCACTTTTCTACTTTCACCGTCTCGGAGCCACTCTATACATACCTCCGCCGTTCCGTTGGCACGTACTCTATGTTTGGATTTAGTTTAGTATTGTTGCGGGAATCTCCGCAGTATAAAAAGCCTGTACTTAGTTTCGGGAAATGCATCTTTTGTCACAATGGACTTAAGGTCAAACACACATAAGACCCGGATGAAACAATGCAAGTACCGATGCTCAGACAACCCTCATCGCTCCTAAAACCCTTTTTTCTTCTACTCTACACCGCCCCCTGCCCTTGCTTTTCCTCGGAAACTTGTCAGAAAGCGCATTACTCTCTCACCAACGAGTACCCAGGACCAACAGACTCCCCCTTCTTTATTCCATCTTGCACGAAATCCCTTCCGGGTTGATAATTTCACACCCCCTTCTTAACACTATTGACTTAGTCCAGACCTACTAACACTAGGAAGGGACTTAGTATTCTTTCATCGTGCATTTCGGCTCACCATCAGATTCCTATTCTTGCAGCTGTCATTGTTTGAGCTAAACATGTATATTTAATATAAGTAAAATTTCTTTGAAAAAAACCTACTGTCTTTGAGGGAAGGGGGCATTTGGGGTGTGAGTGCGCTGTTTGCCTTCATGGTGGTGATCATGTCATGTCCAAGTCATTGTAAGGTGCAGTTGATAAGGCATTGGTGATGCTTGTCATGAGGGGGGCTCCCTGTGATCATTGCTATCAGGCGTGGCACCAGCCAAGGCAGCTCATTTGTCAGATCCCCATGCTGGTGAGGATGTGGCAGTGGCGCTAGGGATCAGCATGGGTATATCCCTGACAGTTCAACCCTCAGCTCGCTGTTTCCCCCTTGTGCCCCCTCCTCATCAGGCAATTCCATGGGAACGTTGGGATGGCAGTCATCACCATCTGTTGTGCCCACAGGGTCTCTTGGCAGTTTTGTCCCATCTTCCTTGATTTCGTTGCCGTCTGGTGGTTTCACCTTGCCCATGGTCTTCTTTGACTTGTTGACATTTGTCTTGACATGAGCTCAACGTACTGGCTTGACTCCATATGCCTCTCCCCCCTCAAATCGAACTGCTCGGTGTATGCTGCTTGGTACTTTCATTTTGCCACCTGGGTTGCACATTTGATTCAATCAACTTGGCACTGTCATTGTCATGTGGTTGTTCTGGGTAGTTGGAAGATGGTGTCAGTAGAGGTGAGGTGACCATTCTAGTGGCATTGTCCTTGACTCGTGTTGTGGGGCATTGTTATGTGTTCTTTGTACACCCAGTCTCGATCCTGGCAACTGTCGTTGTTAGAGCTGGAGCTGTACATGTTAAATATAAAGTAGACAAAAAAAACTTATCCTGCTTTGGCTTGTGGGGCCTCGTTGTGCCATCACCTCCAGAACTGCAGCATCATGGCTGCATTGTGTCATGATTGTGTGTTTGCCATCATCTCATGGCTGTGTTGTGTCACGCTTGACGTGGAGATGCATTTGATGGTGTTGCACCATTGGAACTTGTCTTGGGATATTTTAGTGGGTTGTTGATGGAGACTCGTCAAATTCCTTAGTGCATTGTGTGAGTGCATTTAATAGGATGATAATGCACTCACCTTTCACACTGTCGCTGTGTGTCATGGTTGTGTGGCTGTTGTTGCAGCTGTCGCATCTGTGCATAAGTTTGAGTTTGCTGTCACCTCCAGTGCTGCTGCAGTGGGGTCATGGCTGTGTCATTGCAGTGCATTTGTTTTTGTGTCATGGTTGTCCATTGTTCAAACTGAAACTATGCAATAGAGTAAATTTAAAAAATCACTGTTGTGCCCCAACTCAGAGAATGTGGGTGACATCAATGTTGAGTATGATGGTGACTCAGCAAAGGTGGGTTGTTGAGTTTGTTATGGTGGATCCAAGGTGGTAGGGGTGTGTGTGAGGAGATGTGTGTTTCTTTAGGCGGGCGAATGGAGCTTTGAGAACTGAGTGGACTTGGTGAAAATTTTCACTATCAAGTTCTACCTAATGTCAATATATACTAGCCAACAACAATGTTAAGAAAGGCCTTATGGTTGACTTGGTTAATGGTGTGGTGTTAGTTTCCAGAGT